TCTCGAAATCACCATTTTTCCCTCAACCCGTTGGGCTGGGATATCTTGATACATGTACCTTGTATTCAACAAAACAGAGGAGATGCTATTGTGTATTTTTTTAAGTCCCTCGGAATCAGGGATACTTTTCTTGCGTTTGTTTGGTTTGTTTATCATGGCAGCCCTGTTTTCTTATTTCTCGGTTTTACCTGATTGCCCCTGCTTGTAGTGTGGCGGTATCTTTCTCCAATTTGTGCTGCAATTGAATTGATTCCCATTAAACTTAAAAGTATGCTTTGTTTTTTAAATCTCTGCAGTTGCACATTACTAAGCTGAAATTGAAGTATCAGAGTATGAATTTAGCAAAATCTTGTTGCTTGATGTTACACTTTGCTTGTAGGCGCATGAGGTATTGACCATGAGTGCAATACTGTTAACTTGTATGCTATGTGTTATCTTTTTAAACTGGCAATATTTTGAAATTGTTTTAAATGGTAAATCCGATAATAGTGGCGCAGTGTCAAGGAAATAAAATGCAGTGTGGAACAGATGGTGGTTGGATATTGACCCTCACCCTATAAAAGGTGAATGGGGTTTCTTTTCCAGGCAGAAATAGGCACTCATATGATTCAAAATATATATTCTGGAATTCCCGTGTTCAGCTCGCAGTGGTCTTTTTTGGCAGGAGAGCTGCCAAATTCATTGATCTCCCAGAAAGCAACATGTCTGTAGATGAGGTGCAGATGGGTCCTTCATCCTTGCAAGCTTCAGTTCGCCACGCCCATGCCATGTTGCCGGACACTGCTTGATAGACCAAAAGTCCATGGAGAAAGCAGATAACGCTCGCTCCAAATATAATTGGCCCGTGGCTTGAGCAAAAGCCAGTACGACGGCATGGGTGCACTTTGGTAGGTCTCTCACGTGCTCATGAGCCACACCAGCCATGGCTTTCCCCGCCCTAGTCTAGGCATGTGATCCGATGCCATGGGCAACGCCACGACGCCCATAGGAGTATCATGCCAGGTTGGACTGCCCCCATTTTCAGCTCAGCTTTTCAGTTCAGCTCAGCGACAGCGACTCATCACATCATTAGCCAGACTGAATCTACTGGAGTGGTGACAGTACCACTGCTGTAACAGTGCATCACCCGAAAGTTTTGTTTTGCGTGGTATCACCCGAAAGTTCTAGTAATGCGAGCGGCTGCTGTTAATAAATATGTATTGCGTAAAACTGTATTTGTTTTCCTAATAAATCGCCAAGAATCCTACTCCCTTTAAAATATACGACGTTTTTGCAGGCTGCAAAAACGTCTTATATTTTGATACAGAGATATACTCCCTCCGTCCGGAAAAATTTGTCCCTCAAATGGATGTATCTAGCATCAAGTTAGTGTTAGATACATCCATTTGAGGGACAAGCTTTTCCAGACGGAGGGAGTAGTACTTAGCAGTTCGACACACCTCTTTCGTCTCACGCATTCATCAAAGGGGTGGCTCAACCCTGTTTGAAGTCAGACAAGGTGGTTTTCTGAAGGGGCTACATCAACAAAGTGGAAATGGTTCACCCGCAAAATAAAAATAAAAAATGGAAATGGTAAAGTAAAAAAGAAACTCCAGACATGGCGCTTCTATTTTGTTTTGAAAAAACCGGAATTTTCTAGCATCAAAGATGCTTGATTGTGCTAGGTGAGTGCAACTTCATAGACAAATGACATCTTTTTTTTCCTAGATCCCCTCTGTTTGATACTCCCTTTGTTCATTATTATAGGATGTTCTGATTTTTTTTCTGATTCAGATGTATATAGACGCATTTTAGTGTGTTTGTTCACTCATTTCAGTTCGTACACGATCAAAATTAAAATATCCAAAACATCCTATATTTGTGTGAACGGAGGGAGTATTTGATAACGAAATTTTGCACACTTAGAACACTCGAACATCTTTTATGCCAAAAAATTCAGATCTTTTATTATTGTTATTTTTGAAACCATTGTTCATGCGATAGCATATGAGCTCGGCATCATCGACGAAATATTTAAAATTTCCTGCCTATTTTTTTCTTCGCCAGTCCCTTCTCTCCTACCCCAAGAACTCAACATCTCTCCATCGTATCAAGCCGGTCGAAGCTTCCTGCAACACTAGAGATTTTTTTTTGAGAAACCTGCAACACTAGAGATGGTGTTATACGTCAGGAAAGTCATATTACACCAGCACAAAAATTGTTAGAGCAACTCCAATGGACCGATCCAAACAGATGGTACATTTGTTCGTTTTTTGTCCGTTTGGGTCGGGCGCCCGTCCGGCGTCCGACCAGTTTTGTATTTGGATCGGTAGTGCACCTAACGCGCCGACCCATTTCATATCCGCACTCAACTTCTTTTTTAAAAGGCCCGCGGCCAATCATGCCAACGGCCATGTCTCATGCCGTTGCCATGTCAGCGCCGGCATACAATGCCAGCTTCAAAAATTATCACCAAAGTTCATGCTGGCGCACTCGCCAGCCAGCCGGTGCACATGCCAGCACACAAAAAATGATGGGACTTGAGTTCGACCACGCCATCGCGGCCCCCGTAGTCATGCCAGCACACCTGCCGGCATACAAAAAAGATGGCGATCGCCGCCATAGATCACTCGTCGTCGAACTTGAGCATGTCGGCCTGCATCTTCTCGAACCATGGCCTCTTCCTTGGCGACACAGTGTTGAGATCCACCTTCATGATCTCCCCCCCTCCCGGCCATCATGCTCTCGAGAGCCACTTCTTTCGCCTTGGTCTTGGCGTTGGCGGCCTCGATCTCTAGCATCTTGGCTTGCTTCTCCGCCTCTAGCATGAACATCTTGGCTTGCTTCTCCGCGTCCATCTCAAGCCTCCTCCTTTGGATCTTCATGAAAGCGTCCATTTGCTCCGCCTTGAAACGCCGGCGCTCCTCCTCCCTTGAGTCCTTCTTGTTCATCATGCCCTCCACTCTTGCGATCAAGGCGTTGGATGACGCATCCCTCTTGTCCTCCTTGTAGTTGGTCTTCCCCCGCGGCCGTGCCGGCTCATCCTCCCCAACCTCCTCCACAGCTTGCTTCCCCCCACGCGACTTGAGGGCGGCATATTGCGCCTTGAACTTCTCCTCATCCTTAATGACCCGGAAGCAATGGGAGAGGTTGAAGCACTTGCCATTGTGTTGAACCTTGAATGCCTTCAAAGCTTGAAATGCCTACAAAATGTTTCCATGCAAGCATATGGGCAAATGAATACGCAAACATGAACTTGATGACACAAAAGAGGGCGGTTGCTAGCATACCATGTCTTTCATGCCGATGCCGCTCACGGGGCGGGTCTTGACGCTCTCAAGAGTGGCGCAAAACTTGTTGCACTCTTGTTCAATCACCCTCCATCGCTTGGAAATGGACACCCACCCGCGCGTGCTCAAAAATTGGTAAGGAGGAAACTTCTTGCGCTCATGAAACTCTCAGTGGACACGAATCCAAAAGGTTGAATGCTTTTGTTCAGCACCCGTCTTGGGGTCTTGTCCAATGTCTCTCCAGCACTCGCAAAGAAGCTTGTCCTCGGCAGTCGTGTATGCCTTCGTGCGCTTGCTCTTGCGCTTCGGCTTAGGACCGGCGGCTTGGTTGGCGAGCTCGTCCTCGAACAAAGGCTTCACTTCGATGTCGCACTCGTCCTCTTCCTCTAGTCCGTAGTCGTCCAGAAACTCGTGGTCGAGTGGGAAGCCGTCAAGGTCGATGCCGACCTGATCACGCATGAAGGCCGTCTGGTCGGGATCATAGCCAGCGCCCAGCGTGAACGGCCTGCGGCCGTCCTGGCTTTGTGTCTCGTCGGGGTCGTAGCCAGCGGCCGGCGTAGCGCCCTTGAAGATGAGGTTCTGCATGTAGTCCTCGTCAACGGCGGACGACATTCCCTCGAACAGGTTGCGGGCGTCCGGGAGCACACCAGCCGGCGTCTGCCACGCGCGTTTCCTCGTGCCGCCGGAAGGCGCGACCACGCTCACGTCGGGTGAGCACTCCCAAGAGAGGCGGGAGGCCTGCGGGTACACATGAAAGCCGGGCATCGGGTTGCAAGCCGACGCGCGGGGCGAGTCGGGCAGCACCATCCTCAGAAACGCCGATGAGCCGGTGCTGGCCGCAGCGACGACGGCGTTGAGGAGGCCATGCTGGCCAGGGTTTAACCCTAGCATGTAGAGCGCCTCCCTCATTGCCGCGCGACGCGGGCGTTGGTGACCTCCTGCTGCGCGGCGGCGGCGACGACGGCCTGCGCGGCGGTCTCATCCGTCGCGTCTGCGGCGTGCCTTTGGTCCTTCCTCTTGGCCGACTCCCTTGCCCGCTGTGCAGGCGTCAGCGGCTTCTTTGACTTGGTCGCGGCGGCGGTCTTGCACGGGGCACGAGGCTTGCCTTTTTCGGAAGGGGCGGCGGCGCCGGACAAGGCGAGGGAGGCGAGGCCGGTGGCGGCGTCGAGGTCAATGGCGAGCGTGGGGCGGGAGCGTGCGGGTGGGAGGGTTTTTGGGGGAAATGGGAAAATGATGGTGGCTGCCACCGACCGGCGGGCCCGGGAAGAGGATAGGCGCGCGCGCGTCCCTCTCGTATCCGTACCGACGCAAATCCAACTCAAAATTAGGATGAGAATGGATCACCATGTGGACGCCAAGCGGACTCGCGTCCGTTTGGGTCGGCATGTTGGTCTGCTTTTTGTGTCCGCGCCGACTTAAACGGACACCAGCGGACGAAATGGGTCGCCCGAGTTGCTCTTAGGACTTGTGACATCTCTGATAGCGGGACATCAAGCTTCTCTTAGAGATATCAAGTCTGACATTTGAGGAGAGAGAGAAAGAAAGAGAAAGGTTGCCTTCTTTCGGGGGTGATCACTTGACGCTTAGCTTTCTTTTCAATCGCAACGGCATGTCTTACCATCATCATGAGTATTTAATTTTCACCACCTTTTTACATCAGCATTTTGTTTTGGAATTACCCTGATGAAGATGATGGTAAGTCGACCTTAGTGATAGCAAGAACTACTTTGAATGGATAAGGATTTGGAGAAGGTGAAGCGTCCACATCCAGCGTGCGATGCGGACACCAAAAAGTTAGGTAGTGTTTTTATATTGGAAACAGTTACGTGCTCATTAGTTTGTTAATGGAGCCAAGAAAATTTAGCACTAGGCCTTTTTTTTACAAGGACTGTAGGAGACTGACCATATTCGATATGTGAAAGCAAGAACGAGGGTTTGAATTCTAGCAGGCTGGGTAAATCGTACCCAAGCAATCGTAGCCAGTACCCTTTTTTAATAAAAGAAAATTTCCTCTGAAACGGAGAATTTTTTTAAAAAAAATGATTGCAATTTTAAGGAGAGTTCCTATTCATGCATTCTGGTAAGGTCGATTTTTCTATAAAGTTTAGAGTGAATGGAGATTTGCTCAAACCAAACCAGATGTTTCTTCTCCGCAGCCCTTCAGAACTAGCCACCAAAAGAGATCTAGCGAGAGGAGGAAGCAGGCTCCTCGGTCTCCGTGTTTCCAGGGTCCCCTCACCTCCGTTGACTGCTCTGGCGGTGGTGGGAGGAAGTGGAATCCCGAGACTTTGTTGCACATGAGTCTAATAGTCTAGGTGAGTTAGTTAGGTCTTTGGTGATGGCTGCAGTGAATAAGTTTCCCTCATATCTCGAACCGAAGCGATTGTTCTCACAGTTTATCAGTGTTGGATCTATGAGACAGTGTTTGCGTCGTCTTGGGTCCTTCGGATCGCGGGAGAGGGGAGGGGTGGTGTCGAGGTAATGGTCCTATTCTTCCTGCTCTTTTAGGTGGTAGTGTT